AAGTTCAAAACCAAGCCAGCTCTACTCTGTAACAGTAAGAGGAGTCATGACTGTTGGGCAAGATCTTATTGACAAAGAGGGAACACCAGGGACCCTTTTGGGGTGCTACAATATTCTATGGCTTATATCTTGTTCTGGGTGGTGATATACAGATTATATCTTCTTTGAGTGGAATGATCAAAATTTAAAAAAAAAACAACAACGAAAAACAACTGTTTAGAGACTAGGAAGACAGCTGTTAATGAAGGGCTGCCCCACGAGTATGGAGAGCCAGGCTTTGCTCTTCAATATCCACATAAAGAACAGGGCATCCCAGCACATGCATCTCATTCCACCTCATGGAAGGCAGGGACAGGAGGTCCCTGAGACTCATGGCAAGCTAGCTTTGCTGAGTTGCTGAGCTCCAGGCTCAGTGAGAGATCCTGGCTCACCAAGGACAGTGGAGAGCTGTAGGGGAGGGCATCTGATGTGGGACACAGGTACATGCACCCACACATAAGCACACACATGTGCCTGCAACCACACATAGACATGCAACAAGTGAATAAGCCTTCCCCCCACAGATTATTGTATTAGACTCTTGGACTCTTAGATGAAATTAGAATTGACCTGGTTGGCGGCATCTCAAGATGTATAATGTGGCCGTTCGGGAAGATTTACAGGCCTCATGAACCTCTAGCCCTCAGATCTCAACACGCCTCCCTTGTCAGCACAATTAATCTTCTTCCTGGGTGGATGAGCTGCTTCTGACTCTCTAGAGCCCTGCTGTGACCTTGTAAAGAGCTGTAAATGACAGCCGTTCCCTCCCTGCTCCACCCCACCACCCCTCCTCTTCTGGGAATCTATGAAGGCTGTCCCCCAGGGGCAATGGCCACATCAATGCCAGCAGGGAAAGCTATAAACCCTATAATTGCAAGTTTCATGTAATTTACATTAGTAAGTTCCTGCAGGATCTGAGACGGTAAACACTAAAGACAGCCAGACCCAGGGGCACAGTTAGATCAGACCCCTTCCTTCACAAGAGCTCCGTCACGCACAATTCTGTCTTTTAAATGCTAACTCAGCTGAGACAGGATCTGTCTGGGGTGTCCAAGCAAGGGTCTGGGGGGTCACACGAGGATGAGGAGACCTTGATTGTAGGTCAACACAAAACTGTAAATTCAAGGAGACATTATGGGTTAGTTTTGGTGTGGTGTGGTGTGTGTGTGTGTGTGTGTACTCAACTTCCTGTTTCTCTAGAACGACGACTATGGGTGACAGCAGCCTGTGGCAAAGTCAAAGGGGTTGGGCGTGCCTGCTTGAACCACTTGCTCAGCTGACCAGCTACACCTTTACTGAGCAGTGACCTGCAGTAAATGAAGATGAATGGCTTCAATTGTCTAGCACGAAGGAATGCAGAAATATAGGGAAATGATTCCGACAGCCCGGCCGCCACTGTGTCGCCACACAGACTCTGAGGTGAAGCTTCTCTGAGTGTTAACTTGACACAAACCTAGACGTCTGTGAAGATGAAATTTGATTGGTCTGTGAGCCCATCTCTGGGACATTTTCTTGGTTAATGGTTGCTATGGAAGGGCCTGGCCTACTGTGGCTGGTGCCACCCTTGGGGAGGTGGTCCATCCTGAGAAGCATAGGAAAGGAGGCCGATCACCCCATGGGAAACACACCATGGGTCCCTTGAAGACCTGACCATTCTGACTTCAGCTGCATCTGGCTGGCCAGCATGGCAGCAGCCACCTTGCCTCTGGGGCCATGTGCCTCTCCTGTTCAACGGGACCTCGCCTTTCTTTTGAAGTTAAAAGTCCCTCTGTTTCGGGTACAGACTCTTTCCCCTCTGCCTCCTACACAAAGGTTGCCAAAGATGTGAGGTTTCCCCACACTGATGCGAGCCAGGTACAACCTCTCTACTCTCAGGGTCCTGCTTCGACTTCTTTTGCTTTGATCAATATCACATTGTGTACCAGCATGCCTAGGAATAATAAAGAAAATTCTACCTATTTAAGTTGTGTGTGATGTTCTGGTATACATATACAATGAAAAATGATTTTTCTCTCTCAAGCTACTCATTTCCTACAGTAGGTAATCACCTCCCATACTTACCGTGTGTGTGTGTGTGTGTGTGTGTGTGTGTGTGTGTGTGCCATGACTTTTCTTGGATGTGATCATTGTCTATTCATTCCAGACAGGCAACTGATGATGGGCCAAATTGTGTTGAAGGGAGCTGCAGGTTGCATTCCTGCCACCCTGCTTGCAGCCACCTGGCTAGCTTATGCCCCGAAATAACAACACACAAACTGTATTCATTTAAACACTGCCTGGCCCATTTCTATTAATGTGTGTAGCACCGAGGTGTGCTTACCGGGAAGATTCTAGCCTACATCCATCCTGGGTCAGAACTTCATCGCATCTGCCCCAGAGAGCAGAGCTAAGGCAGATGAGCTCACTTCCTCTTCCTCCCAGCATTCTGTTCTGTTTACGCCACCCACCTAAAGACTGGCCTATCAAATGGGCTGAGGCAGTTTCTTTATTAGCCAATGACCTTCCTCCATCAAAATTGGTCTTCCCTGGTCCAGACTCATGAATCAGTGAGTCTATTGGCGTCCTCCGCAGGCACGTGGATGAGGGTTACTTACGGGAGCATCAGTGACTGGGACAGCTGCATTGCTGAGAAACCCACAAGGGTGCAGTCACCAGAGTGCATCCCTAGAGCGCTCTGCCCAACTTGCAGGCAACTCTGCAAAGGACCCTGCTGTCTCCAACAGTTATTTACTGAGTATACAAACCCAGGAGAAGGCCTTGAGCCTTGTTAAGTTTCTTGTGAGGTTTGTGAATTTCCCAGCTCGTCCCACAGAGGAATGTTGAAAAACATTCCCTGGAGGAAACAGGGGCAGGAAGATTGATGGGAATATTTAAGATTATTCTCAGCAAACTTCAAACACACAATCAGCACTGTGCCATCATCCCATGCAGTATGCCAGGTCTCCAGGGCCTGCTCACCCTACAGAACTGGAAGTCTGTGCCCACTCCCCATCCCTGCAATCCCCCCAACCCGGTTCCTGCCTCCCAGTCCAGTCATGTGACCTTGTGTCTCTGACTTGAGTTTCTGAATTCTACATATCAATGATGCCCTGAAGTGTTTTGATGTCACACTTCACTTGGCATGACATCCTCCAGGTTCATCCATGCAGCACGTGAGGTGGCTGCCCTCTTTTCTGGGGAAGAGTGACATTCCAACGCACGTACACACCGCTCATTCATTTGTAGATGCCCAGGCTCACGCCCATGTCTTGGCTGTTGTGAAGACCATTGTGATGAGCACGGAGAGCAGACGCACCTCAACGTGCCAACGTCATTTCCTTTGAACACACACGCAGACATGGGGTTGTGGGGTCACACTGCGGTTCTGTTGCTAATGTTTGGAGAGTTTCCACGTTGCTTGTCATACTGACCGCACTATTTACATCCACGGGGATCCCTCGTGCAAGAGGCCCCGTCCCTCACACCCTCAGCTGCACTTGCTCTCTTTTGACTTTTGATAATGGCTATGCTAACGGGTGTGAGGTGACATCTCACTGTGGGCTTTAACCACGCTCACAGGTGTGAGGCGAGCTCTCACTATGGCTTTAACCACGCTCACAGGTGTGAGGTGAGCTCTCACTGTGGGCTTTAACCACGCTCACAGGTGTGAGGCGAGCTCTCACTATGGCTTTAACCACGCTCACAGGTGTGAGGCGAGCTCTCACTGTGGGCTTTAACCACGCTCACAGGTGTGAGGCGAGCTCTCACTATGGCTTTAACCACGCTCACAGGTGTGAGGCGAGCTCTCACTGTGGGCTTTAACCACGCTCACAGGTGTGAGGCGAGCTCTCACTATGGCTTTAACCACGCTCACAGGTGTGAGGCAAGCTCTCACTGTGGGCTTTAACCACGTTCACAGGTGTGAGGTGAGCTCTCACTGTGGGCTTTAACCACGCTCACAGGTGTGAGGCGAGCTCTCACTATGGCTTTAACCACGCTCACAGGTGTGAGGTGAGCTCTCACTGTGGGCTTTAACCACATTCACAGGTGTGAGGCGAGCTCTCACTGTGGGCTTTAACCACGCTCACAGGTGTGAGGTGAGCTCTCACTATGGCTTTAACCACGCTCACAGGTGTGAGGCAAGCTCTCACTATGGCTTTAACCACGCTCACAGGTGTGAGGCGAGCTCTCACTATGGCTTTAACCACGCTCACAGGTGTGAGGCGAGCTCTCACTGTGGCTTTAACTCACATTCCTGGTGATCTGTAGCCATGAAGATTTTTTTAAGTAAAATATTTCTTTGAGATTTTCTTTATCTTCTTTTATGTGTGAGAGTGTTTTGCATACATGTATGTCTTTGCATTACATTTGTGCAGTGGCCTTGGAAGCCAGAAGAGGGCGTCAAATCCCCTAGGACTGGAGTTACAGATGGGTGATGGGAACTGAACCCCAGTCCTGTGAGAGAGCACTGAGCCTTCTCTCCATGAATAGTTTTGCATGTACTTGATGACCTGTTTGTTGTCTTCTGAGAAACATGTATTCTGGTTACTTCCCTCATTCTTTTTAAATCTTTTTTGAAACTAATTGTTACTTTAAGTAAAACTATGACCAAACCCGAGGAGCAGAGAATTAAAGCCCAGACTACAGTGTTTAAAGCAGAGTCATGAAGTGACGTCACAGGTGTGGACACAAACACAGAAATGCAAACCATGAAGCCGGAGCTGGATTAGCAAAACCTTGGGTTCAATCCCCAGCACCGCATAGACTGGCCCTAGTAGCTCAACGCTGGAGAAAGAAGGGTCAGGAGTTCAAGGTCATTCTGGATTACATAGCTTTATACATGAAACCCCATCAAAGAAAGAATGAGGAATTGTGTTCGCAGCCGTCCCCGCGCCGCCGCAACTCTCTAACGCCAGCGCCGACTCTCGCTTGCCGAGCTCCAGCCAAAGGAGAAGGGGGGTAAGTAAGGAGGTGCCCATACCATGGCTCGTACAAAGCAGACTGCTCATAAATCCACGGGTGATAAAGCACCCAGGAAACAACTGGCTACAAAAGCCGCTCGCAAGAGTGCGCCCTCTACTGGAGGGGTGAAGAAACCTCATCGTTACAGGCCTGGTACTGTGGCACTCCGTGAAATCAGACGCTATCAGAAATCCACTGAACTTCTGATCCGCAAACTCCCCTTCCAGCGTCTGGTGCAAGAAATTGCTCAGGACTTCAAAACAGATCTGTGCTTCCAGAGTGCAGCTATTGGTGCTTTGCAGGAGGCAAGTGAGACCTATCTGGTTGGCCTTTTTGAAGATACCAACCTGAGACCGGACCAGACTGATCTTGACCAATTCAGACCGGACCAGACTGGTGTTAGCCGGTTCAGACTCGACCAGACCGGTTTAGAGTGGTCCAAACAGGACCAGACCAGTCTCAACCGAAACAGACTGGTCTGGTCTGGACCGATCTGGTTGTGACTGGTCTGGTCCCGTCTGGACTGGTTGGGACACATCTGGTCTGATCTGGACTGGTCTGGTATGGTTGGGACCGGTCTGGACTGATCTGGACCCATCTGGTCCAGTGAGGACCGGTCTCAAACGGAACAGACCGGACCAGACTGGACCAGACAAGAATATACTGGTCCAGACTGGACCGGACCAGACTGGACAAGACCAGACTGAACAGGTCTAGACTGGAGCAGACTGCTCTTGACCGGATTCTACCAGACCAGTCTTGACCGAACCAGGCCAGGATCCAACGGAACAGACAGGACCAGACTTGTTTTGACTGGTCCAGACAAGACCAGACAGGACCGGACCAGACCAGAGCAGTCTTAACCAGACTAGACTGGTCCAGACCGGAGTAGACCAGGGTAGTGAAGGCAGGGGGAGCAGAAGGCCATTGACCACTACATAGTGAGTTTGAGTCCAGCCTAGGCAATGTGAAACCCTGTCTCAAATAGCATTCCCTATGCGGCGTGGGCACACACACCCACACAGAGTACAAAAGACAAAGCCAGGCTCTCTGCCGAGTCCCTGTAACTCCCTCCAGGGGTAACGATGGACACAGAGCGTGTGAACATTCACAGATACTGACAAGCTGCTGCCGGAAACAATGTTACAGTGTCATTGGAGGCCAGTTACTAGAAAGTCATTTCCTCCTGGTCAGTAAGAGGTATCTCAGGTGGGCCAGGGATTACCCCTTAAGAAGGCAGATTTTCCCAAAGCCATACAGGATGAATAATTAACCCCATAATCAGTTAATGTGCTTTCCTTTCCAGAAACCCCAGAGCTATTCTCAGGCTCTGATAGGTCCGCCCACTGCTCTGAGCCCTCACTCACTCTGAAAGGTGAAACTTCCTTTTTCCATCCTTTCTGTCCTGAGCCTGGCTGTGCCCTCTCTAGCAGGTTTCCTTCTTTCTCTGGAGCTCTGCCCCACTTGCCATGGGGCTGCTTACTCGCTGTGGGGCTGACCTCCATTGCTGGAACACAGAGGATTAACTCAAACTTCATGGTTTTCTCGCTTCCTGGTCTCCATCTCCTTCCTCTGGGATGCTGCCAAGGTTTACAGCTTGTTTACCCTGCGGTTTTTCTTTTAAACACATACTTAAGTGGCCCCGATCGATGGAAACTGTTAACTAGAGATCCCCAGATCCAGAGTCTGAATTGGGGCAAACGGCAGGTGGCGTGGCTTCCTTACCGGTGGCCCTCAACCTTCCCTTTAATACAGTTCCTCATGCTGTGGTGATCCTCAATCATAAAATTATCTTTGTTACTGTAACTTTGCTGCTATTATGAATTGTAATGGAAATATCTTCCATGTGACCCCAGCAGGGTAGCGGCCCACAGGTAGCGGCCCACTGCCTTACACAGACAAGGTCAGAACAGACCAGAGAGCCAGAATTTAAAGCTGAGTTTGTCTAACCTACCCTGGTCAGAGGCAGGAGTCATAAGAAATGGGTTTGGCCTAGAATTCGGTGCGGGACACTGGGCCAGTCCCCTGGCCCTTCAGCCGTGTGAATGAGGATAAATGGAAGAGCTTTGGGACTGAAGAGGTGGCTCAGCCAACTCCAGCTCCAGGAAATTCCGGCACCTCCCCCTGGCCCACAATGGCACCTACAGACACATAAAAAATAAAATAAATCTTTGAAAAACGAACAAACAAAAAAGTCTTTAAAAAGGACCTGTGTTGGCTGGTTTTATGTCAGCTTGACCCAAGCTAGCATCAACTAAGAGAAGGAAACTTCAATGGAGAAAATGCTTCCGTGAGATTGGGCAAGTGGTCCTGGGTGCCATAAGAAAGCAGGCTGAGAAAGCCATGAGGAGCTGATGCATTGTAATTCATCCTCCACTAAGGAGAAGGAACATTTATTTAACTGTACCCATTTCTCCCTGGAGAGGCTTTCAATTTGTTTCCAGTTTGGTGATGAACAATGCTGACCAACAGCCTCTTTGATATTTCCATCCTGCCATGCTTGTATGTGTTGTTTACTGACATTTTAACTACCATCTGTGCCTTCCAGTCCTGCCAGCACCAGTTTAGCTGTGGCTGGAGCCATGCAGCCCGAAATGTTGTTTTTATCTAAGTTGTTTTGTTTTCCAATAAAGATTCGGGAGTCAGATGTTGGAATGAAAACCTACTAGATCAGAGAAGCCCCAAAGCAAGCAACTGACCTTTCTTTTTGGCTGGAGACCCAGCAAGAGACAGAATCTCTCCACACCATCCTAAACCAAAGAGACCAAGAAATCTCTAAATCCCTCCATGCTCCTTCCTGTGTCTCTCTATCCATATGGCTGGGTCCTCCATACTCTCTATGGCTAATTCTAGTCAATTAGTCACTGGCTCTGCCCCCTGATCCAAGGCTAATTTTATTAACACAATCTGGGTTTTCACAGCATGATCAAATAATCTGCAAAAAGTGTGTGGTACCTGCATCCTTCCATGCTTGTATGCATACTACATCCTGCCATGCTTGTGTATACTGCATCCTGCCATACTTGTGTGTACACCTGCATCCTGCCATACTTGTGTGTGCACCTGCATCCTGCCATACTTGTGTGTGCACCTGCATCCTGCCATACTTGTGTGTGCACCTGCATCCTGCCGTGCTTGTGTGTACACCTGCATCCTGCCGTGCTTGTGTGTACACCTGCATCCTTCCATGCTTGTGCTTTGTACATCCACCCTTCCATATTTTTGCTTTGTTCTATTATGAATATTACAAATTAATTAATTATGAAAGTACAGGGCGACTTTCATTTACTCAGTATTGTAAGATTGCTATGGCAGTATACAGTAAGTTCAAGGCCAGTCTGTGCAACTTGGTAAGATCCTGTCTCAAAAAATAAAAGCAAAATGGATAGCTATATATACATGATATATATCATATGTATATAGTAGATCACTTGCTTGGCCTGCCAAAGTCTCTAGCTTCATTCTCTAATATTGAAAAAAAATTGCCTTGACCATACTGAAAAGAAAAATCACCTTCATAATTGTAAGGATCAAGTGCCACCAGCAATGGGCATCGGTTCTTCTGCTCATCCTGTCTTAGCCCAAGGCTCTCCCTATCACCACGTATTGGCGGAGGTTTCTTTTGCTTCATCTGGATAGAAATTGTGGATAGATACAAAGTCTACAAATGCCGCTCCAGGGAGGCTTCCCATCCCTTTTGGGTTTGGCTACAGAGAGCCATAGCGGCAGACAGGCAATGAGCAGCGGTAAGGAGCGCCCTCTAGTGTTACACTTGCTGTGCAGGCTTCGGAATCAGGCCTGGGTCGTTGGATCAGTGGGTGGTCACCCGCAGCCTCTACCAGCACAGCGGGGGCAGATTCAGATCTGGGGGTGCAGCTGGTGGGTGATTCTGAGTCCTTCACAGCTGCTTCTTCAGCTGTCCTTCCGCTACTTTGGCAGTTGTACAGCAATTACGGACACTGTGCCGAGAAGCCAGGGCCTTGGGCTCAGCAACCAGGTGCCAGTCCCAAGAAGGGTTCTTTGGAAGCCCAACCGCAAAGATTGGAATCTAGGGAAGAGGTGCCGTGCCAGGATTACTTTCAAGGCCACCAGGACCGCTGAGTGTGTCAAGCAGCTACCCTGGCTCTCCAAACTGTCAAACAGCCACGGCTTCAGTTATCAAGCCGCTGGGGCGCCGCTGCTGTAACGAAGGTGTCAGCTGCCTTTACTGCTGCTGCCGCCTTCACGTGTTACAAGCGGGACCTGCGGAACTGAGAGCAGGTAGCTCCAGAGATGCCTCTACCCAGCGTTGCAATCTCAGGAAAGAGGCTCCCTGCCAGATAAGTCAGCGAGCCGTTCATTCTAGGTCAATCACAGCACTTGTTTGGGCTAGTCACAGCTGTGCCTCTGTGGCACCAATCAGTCTTTTTTTTTTTTTTTTCAGAATTCTAACTAGTCTTTTTATTTATTTATTTATTTATTTATTAAAGATTTCTGCCCCCTCCCCGCCACCGCCTCCCATATCCCTCCCCCTCCCCCAATCAACTCCCCCTCTCTCATCAGCCCGAAGGGCAGACTGGGTTCCCTGCCCTGTGGGGAGTCCAAGGACCACCCACCTCCATCCAGGTCTAGTAAGGTGAACATCCAAACAGCCTAGGCTCCCACAAAGCCAGTATGTGCAGTAAGATCAAAACCCAGCGCCATTGTTCTTGACTTCTCAGCAGTCCTCATTGTCCGTTATGTTCAGCGAGTCCGGTTTTATCCCATGCTTTTTCAGATCCAGGCCAGCTGGCCTTGGTGAGTTCCCAAAAGAACATCCCCATTGTCTCAGTGTGGGTGCACCCCTCGCGGTCCTGAGTTCCTTGCTAGTGCTCTCTCTCCTTCTGCTCCAGATTTGGACCTTGGGGTTGTAGTCCGGACCAATCAGTCTTAAAGCTTGTGTTTTGGTGTTTGGTGACCTTGCACCTGACACAGTTCCTCCAGCAGAAGGGCTTTCCCTCTGGCCAGGGAAATGATTGCTGGGAAATGATTGCTAGAACACCACTTCCCCATTGCCTTCCCCTCCCTGTCACTCCTGGTCCTCCTACTTAATGCAGAATTGGACTGAAGCTTGTTAACCAGCTAAGGGTGACCGTGTGTTTCCCATCCTCCTGTGTCTACCTGCCAAGTGCTGGGATTAAAGATATGTGCCACCATGCCCAATTTTATTCAGTGCTGGGGATGAAACCCAGGACTCCATGCTCGCTAGCCAAGTGCTCTGCCAACTGAGTTACACCCCCAGTCCTAAAGTACAGCTTCTTGTGTGTTCATTTAATTTTTTTTTACATTTTTATTTTACATGTATGAGTGTTAGTCTACATGTATGTCTGTGCACCACATATGAGTCGGGTGCCCTCAGAAATCAGCAGAGGGTGTTGGATCCCCTGAGACTGGAGTCACAGATGGTTGTGAGCTGCCCTGTGGGTGCTGGGAATTGAACTGGGTCCTCTGCAAGAGCAAGTGCTCTTGAGCCTGGCGGTGGTGG